CGGACGTCCCTCCACCTCCTCCTCCTTCCGTTCACACCATCCCGCCGTTGACGGTTTCACCGCCCTACGTGGTTGTTTCTCCCCCGCCCCTCATCGCTGACCTGACTAGACTGACGCCTGCATCGGCCACCGGCGATGAGGCGAGCATTGGTGCGTTGCTTGTAGGCCGGCCCGTGCTATCACCGGTAGCCGACGTAACGTCGAGCAAGTCGACGTGAGGGTGAAGCCGCTGACCTCAGGGGAGCCGTCGACAGAGGAGAAGTCGGCAGGGGAGCCGATTATCGCGGAGCAGCTCGACAATGGCACGTCGAGCGACGGCGTGGAGGTCAGTGCAGCCGGCGATGACGAAGGGAGCTGTCGGCAGGGGAGCAGTCCACCGATAGCGACGTGGTGGAAGTCCCGATCGAAGAGCCGAAGCTGCGACCTTCCACCCGCTCCAACCTTCGCAATCCTTCGATAGAGTGGAGCTATCATGACTACCTGCTGGCGTATGTCTATAACACGCTCCTCGACGACGTGCAGGCCGACGTCGACCTGCCCGAGCTCAACCCCGACAAGCAGGAGAGGCGACGGGACATCGCGACCATGATGGTCAAGGATGAGTTGATGAGCTGGAAGGGCAAGGCGGTGAAGGCCACCATGGACGAGGAGATTCAGAGTCTTCTTGACAACGGCACGTGGGAGCTTGTCGAGTGTCCGCGCGGTGTCAACGTGATGAAGAATTGGTGAGTGCTTATAATGATGTATCACGTCGACGACATGGTCACCCACGAGAAAGCGCGCTTGTTCATGAAGGGCTTCACGCAGATCTACAACGTCGACTACGACGAGACGTACGTACCAGTCGGGAGCTACGTCAGGCTGGGGATTTTTCTCAGCATCGTCGCCTTCCTCGACCTGCACATGATGCAACTCGACATGAAGAACGCTTTCCTGCAAAGCAAGCTCGACCGAGTACTCAATATGGACCGGCACTACTAACACGACCGGACTCGCCGCGTGTTCAAGCTGCTGAAAAGCTTGTACGGCCTCAAGCAGTCGCCGCTGCTGTGGTACCCGGCGCTCGACGCTGTGCTGACCGGCGCTGGCTGGAACAAGAGCCAGGTTGCCGAGGCTCCCTATTTCAAGGTCGGTGATGGCGAAGTGGCGTGCTGGGTGCTAGTCTACGTCGGCGACCTTCTCGTCGCCAGCAGCAGCACCGCGATGCAGAAAGAGTGGAAGGATCTGCTGGAGGCCGCCTTTGAGCTGCGCGAGATCAGCCTGGTCGAGAAGTACCTGGGGCTGGAGATCGTGCGCGACTGACCTGTGAGGAAGCTGTGGCTCCACAAGCAGTCCTACGCCGACAACCTGCGTATGCTTTCGTCGTCGGGGAGCAGGCCGGGCGAGTTCCGAAAACGCCGATCTCCTTCGACGCCTACGCCGAGCTGACATTCGACCACGAGGACTTCCAATGGCGCGAAGACGAGGGGTACCGGCAGAAGGTCAGCTCGTTGCAATTCGCGGGCGACCACGACGAGGTCGGACATCACATTCGCGCGAAACAAGCTGGGGTTCGGCTCGACGGCGAGGAGCGACCAGTACTGCGTGAGGTCGACCGCTGCCTCGCCTACCTCGCCGACACACGTGACGCCGCCCTGGAGTGCTGTGGCGGACCAGAGTCGCTGTGTTTTGTCGGCTACCCGGACGCCGACGACGGAGGCGACATGTAGACGCGAAGTAGGACGAACGGCTACGTGTTCGTCTTCGGTGGAGCAGCAGTCTCCTGGATGAGACAGCGCATCAGGTGCGTTACTTTGTCCTCGACGAAGTTGGAGTACATCGCTAAAAAGTCATATTATGCTGCCATATACACAACTTAGGCCAAAGTTCACCCGGGTAAAGTTAAAGCATAGAAACTTCTACATAGGAAAACCGAGGCATGTCAATATCGAGCAGAAATATGACTTTTTAGCTGGGCCGAGCTCTCCTCACGTTCTTCAAATTTTGGCATTTCTCGCCTCGCTCTCGATACAGTAGTCACAACAATGTCATTTGGTTCGAAGCGCACGCGGTTCGAAAACGTCACATCTCTCACCCCAATTTCTCAATGCCTCTGAAATTTCCTCCATCTCCCTCCCTCCTCCTTTCCCTCCACCTCGAACCCTGCTCCGCCAACCAAGCGATTCCAGCTCACTCCCCCTTGCCAACCTACCCAGCCACACGCAAATACCGTGCCCCTTGCAATTGCCCCTAGCATATGCCCCTACCCTTATACCCCTTGTCTCCCTCGCAGCCGAGCTTTCTCAGCCACCCTTTTCATGATCCCACCCGCCTCTCATAAATACACAAACTCCCAGGTTTCCTACATGCTTCAGCTCACGATGCGCGCGCGACTCGCAGTCGAGCGTGAGTGGCACGCGCCCTCTTCACACGCCACGAGCCTCACCATCGTCGACACAGATCGCATGCGCTGTCCTTTCGGTAGTAGGTCGTTTCTACCAACGCGATACCGACGGATGGTGCAACAGGCTCCGTTGGAGCCATCCCCTCGTTCTTGTACACCCATAAGTGACGTCTCTTGCGGCTCGTGATTCGTGAACATAAAACTACGGGGAGTCAGTGGTAGTCGATCCAATACAGTGCGATCCCATGCTTGATTGTGCCATAGTAGAATATCAGCGCGATGGCGAGGAGTTTGTTTCTTCGCGGCGTGACCTTCAGTGTCCTCCTGGTTCTAGCCCTCCTTGAGATTGCCGCGCACATGAAAACAGTGACGGCAGCACGCCGCGCCGGCGGCGCCGATGGCAGTAAGCGGGCCCCGCCCCCCGATTTATTGCCCACAGCGGAAGTTCTTTCCACCTGCAAATATAGAGGTAAGCTACGGCCTGCTAGTTTTAGTTCTTGAGTGATGTAGTGTGCGGGTTATGAGGCAGGTGTCTCTCTCACTGCGCGGATGGCAGGGCGTCAGACCTTTCCGCATGGCATGCGGCATTTTCTCAACGGCATTTTTGTTGCGTCTTTCACATTTTGCTTGCAGGCGCAATCAATCTCACAGTCTCGCCAGAATTCGTCGGGACTACGTGGCGAGGGTGGGGGACTTCGCTCGCGTGGTTCGCGAATTACGTCGGCGGCCTGCCGCAGCAGCAGCTGACCGCAATTCTCGACCTTATTTTCGAACCCATAAACGGTCTCGGACTGAACATCGTACGTTACAATATCGGAGGGGGGCACAACGATACACGCAGCCCGCAGTTTCATCAAAATTCGGATGTGATTTGGCGGGGCATCCCAGGTTACAAGCCGACGGAGAAGGGGCCGTACGATTGGAGCGCGGACGAACGGCAGCGGAACGTGCTGCAGGGAGCGAAGGCGAGAGGCGCGAATGTCTTCGAGGCGTTTTCGAACAGCCCGCCCTGGTGGATGACCGTAACGGGTGACGTGGCAGGTGCGGTTTGGAAGGGGGAGACGAATCTGCTGCCGAAGTACGAGAAGGCTTTCGCAGATTACTTGACGACAGTCGTGGCGGAATTCGCGAAAAGATGGGGGGTTACCTTTGATGCGCTGGAGCCTTTTAACGAAGCGCTGGAGGGGTTCTGGAAGGCCGGAAAAGAACACGAGGGGTGTACGTTCAATGCCCCCGAGATGGGCCGTGTCATCAAGTACACCTCGGACTCGTTAAAAGCGAAGGCGCTTAAAACGAAGTTGGTGGGGGTGGACAGCTGGGATGGCATGACAGCGCAGCTGCCTCAGATCCCGAATCATGAGCTACTAACGCGGATAAACGTTCACGCGTACGTGAATAGCTACCACGACGTGAGTGTTGCTGCGACGTACGAAAAAAGATTCGGCAGTATTCGCGACACGGCGAAGTTGCTGGGGAGGGAGGTGTGGGTTAGCGAAGCGGGAGCGCTAAACAAGCGCGGGAGCTTTTGGGACCTTTCACTGTACATGGCGCGAAACGTTATCGAGAGCGTGAATATCATGGAGGCTTCAGCGTACATGATCTGGCAGGCGTACGATTTCGCAGCACATTGGTCTTGCATTGACTTTTCGCCGAATTATCCGGCCAATTACACAGGCGAAATGGAGACGCCTAAAGCGAACAAGCGGTTTTGGATTTTCAAGCATTTTACTTTGCTTGCCGGACCTGGATCCAAGCCGCTCAAGATAGGTTCGGACTGCTGGCACGGCATGAGCGCGTTCTACAGCCCCGGCGAAAAGCGGGTTACGGTTTTCGTTGTGAATCAGAAGGCGGAAGACAAGCACGTGACGATCAATTTGGATGGTTTCACGATGAACGTGGGGGGAACTACCAAGGTCGTTGTAAGGCGAACGACTTGGTCTACAGATTTCACCGTCAAGGTGTACAGAAAGCAAGTTGCGAGGCTGATTGTATGGGGGCAGAGCTTCGCTTCTGTCACCTTCACTAACGTGTCGTATTAAGAGGCTCGACTACCAGGAGGTAGGCACCTTGTTCTGTATGGGGACAGAGCTTACGGTAGCTTCTGTTACCTTCAAACTTGTCATACCTACTAAGAGGCTATGTAAAGATGTCCTTGTTCTGGAGCAGTCCCGAGTTGATGTCTACCAGAGAATCCCCCCCCCACTTGATTACCATAAGGCTCCTTTTTCTGGTGCAGTGCCCTCACTTGATGACTACTAAAGCATTCCCCACTTGATTACCATAAGGCTCCTTGTTCTGGTGCAGTGTCCTCACTTGATGACTCCTCATCCTCGCTATGGTTCTGGACCTAGATTGTATCATATGCTGCTAGAGGTGGAAAATCCTGTCAATGTAGCTTATAGTTAAGGCTGTCATGGAAAATCTGTTACAGTCACATGTGCTTCCCATCAGCTTTATTGGGCCATATTCTACGATGCATAATTCCGCAATCTGCTGCCATATACACTCGGGTTGGGTGAAATAAATCCCTACGCTGTTCAATCAGATTTAAATTCGGCTGCTGTAGGCGGCGGCGGAGGGGGGAGTCCTGGCCTCATTACAAGGTAGAGGGCAGGGCCTATAACGGGGAGGAAGGGGAGGGCAACACCCCATGAGTCTCTAGGCGCCCTGGAAACACACAAGGGGGTTGGGGCGAGTTGTGGGATGAAGAAAGGCTTTTACAACATCTCAAAAGGCAAAAAACAGGGAGGAAGGGAAGAGCCGCACCCCATGAGTCTCTAGGCGCCCTGGAAACACACAAGGGAGATAAAGGTTTGGGAGAAATAAAAAAAGCCTTTGAGACGTCTCGTAAGTCATGGCATGGCAGGGCATCAGGCATGGCAGGGCATCAGGCATGGCAGGACATGCCAGTTCCTAATCACACTCACCAGTTCCTGTAGGCCATGTCGTTGAAGAGCCAGAAGGGCAGGAAGATGTTGAGGCCAATTTTGGAGTCGACGAAAAAACCGACTTATCACATGTTCGTTGAATTGACGAGCCAGAAGGGCAGGAGCATGTTGAGGAGAGCGTGGCATGATACTTTGCAAGCACACAGCACCCTTAGTTCATTCGACACACCATCTCACATCACATGCACCAATAAGCACATACCATTTCCCGTAGGCCATGTCATTGACGAGCCAGAAGGCCATGTTGAGGAGAGCATGCCAAGGCACCAGTAAGCAAGCAAGCACTGATCAGCCCACAGCACACGTACCAGTTCCTATAGGCCATGTCGTTGACGAGCCAGAAGGGCAGAAACATGTTGAGGAGGACGAAATCCATCGAGGTGACGTGGATCTGTGTGGGGAGTAGGGGAGAGGGGGGAATGGGGGAGTGGGAGAGGGAAAGGGGGAAGAACAGGGGAGGTTGGGTGTTAGTATTGGAGTGAGTTGAAGGGCAGGAACATGTTGAGGAGGACAAAATCCATTGAGGTGACGTGGATCTGATGGGGATAGCGGAGGAGGGATGGTGGAAGGGGGATGAGAATGGAGTAAGGGTATGGGGATGAGAATGGAGTAAGGGTATGGGGATGGAATTGGCAGGAACATGTTGGGGAGGACAAAATCCATCGAGGTGACATGGATCTGATGGGGGTGGCGTGGCAGGCGGGAGGGGAAAAGGGGGCAAGAAGGGATCGGAAGTTAAAAGGGAACATGTGAGCGACGTTGGAAGGAACAAGTTGAGGAGGACGAAAACTATTGAGGAGACGTGGATCTGATGGGGGGGTGTAAGGGGCAAGGGGACGAAAAGGGAAAGGAAGTCAAACGGAGGAGATGGGCGACGCCAGGAGGAACATGTTGAGGAGGAGAAAATCCATTGAGGTGACGTGGATCTGATGGGGGGAAAGGGGAAGGGGAAGGGGGAAGGGGAACGGGGAAGGGGAGGGGGAAGGGGAAGGGTGGGGAGGGGGGCGGGGAAGGGTGGGGAGGGGGACGGGAGAAAGGAAAGGGGGAAGCAAAAGTTGGAAGGGGAAGGGGGGAACAAATACGAGCGAAAAGGGATGACCCACCATGAGGCTCTTTTGGAAATACAGCCCAAACTCAAGACAGTCACCAGCTCACACTGCAATCCCCCAGACCACTCTGCACCACTCTGCACCACTCTGCACCACCCTGCACCGCTCTGCACCCATGTATCTACCCACCAAGAGGCTCTCCTGAAAGTACTGCAAGAACTCAAGCCAGTCAGTTGACGGTGCTGTTGTAAACACTCAAGGACACAGTGCAGTAGACAGCAGACCGTAACACACCACACTGGACCGCTCAGCACAACTCAGAACCGCTCGGCACTGTTCAGCACCCACCAAGAGGCTCTCCTGAAAGTACTGCAAGAACTCAAGCCAGTCGGTTGACGGTGCTGTTGCTGCACTGATGACCAGCCCTGATGCTGCGAGCAGCAGTAACTGCGGGAGAAAGTGCGGGAGGTTACGGGGATGGACGAGAGTGCATGGGTGGGTGGGGGAGGCAGTACAGAGGGGGAAGAGTCTCAAGGCTCAAGCCAGTCAGTCAGCTGACGGTGCTGTTGCTGCACTGATGACCAGCCCTGATGCTGCGAGCAGCAGTAACTGCGGGAGAAAGTGCGGGAGGTTACGGGGATGGACGAGAGTGCATGGGTGGGTGGGAGGCAGTACAGAGGGGGAAGAGTCTCAAGGCTCAAGCCAGTCAGTCAGCTGACGGTGCTGTTGCTGCACTGATGACCAGCCCTGATGCTGCGAGCAGCAGTAACTGCGGGAGAAAGTGCGGGAGGTTACGGGGATGGACGAGAGTGCATGGGTGGGTGGGGGAGGCAGTACAGAGGGGGAAGAGTCTCAAGGCTCAAGCCAGTCAGTCAGCTGACGGTGCTGTTGCTGCACTGATGACCAACCCTGATGCTGCGAGCAGTAAGAGCTGTGGTGGGGAGGAGAGAGTTATTAGAGGAAGTACAAGAGCGCATGGTTATCTTGGATTCAAGCACTCGCAGCCCCGCTTTACCCCTCTCCTCCTCGGTTGGTACTGCTGCTGCTCCGGGCGTCCAGAGGGCGAAGAGGGGCAGCAGAGGCGACGAAGGGCAAACAAGCAACAGCAGAGCGGCTGAGCAACAGACTCACTGCGCTGGATATCTTGGGCTCGAGAATATTGTGACTGAAGAAGACTCACCGCACTGGTTATCTTGGATTCAAGCACTCGCAGCCCCGCTTTACCCCTCTCCTCCTCGGTTGGTACTGCTGCTGCTCCGGGCGTCCAGAGGGCGAAGAGGGGCAGCAGAGGCGACGAAGGGCAAACAAGCAACAGCAGAGCGGCTGAGCAACAGACTCACTGCGCTGGTTATCTTGGGCTCGAGAATATTGTGACTGAAGAAGACTCACCGCACTGGTTATCTTGGATTCAAGCACTCGCAGCCCCGCTTTACCCCTCTCCTCCTCGGTTGGTACTGCTGCTGCTCCGGGTGTCCAGAGGGAGTAGAGGACAGCAGAGCGAAGAGGAGAAGGGCTGAGCACCAGACAGACTCACCGCGCTGGTTATCTTGGGCTCGAGAATATTGTGACTGAAGAAGACTCACCGCACTGGTGATTTTGGATTCAAGCACTCGCAGCCCCACTTTCCCCCTCTCCTCCTCCGTGGGTACTGCTGCCTTTCCGGGTGACCAGAGGGCAAAGAAGGGCAGCAGGGCGAACGCCCCTGCGAAGAATGAGGCGAGGAGGAAGGGCCACGCTGGGATGGTGGTGCGATTGCTGTGGAAACAGGAAGGAGAATGGGTTGGGTGCAAGGGGGGAAGGAAGGGGGGAAAGGCAGGTATCAGGAACCCCACCCCACACGGCAAAGAAGGGCATGAGGGCGAAGGCTCCTGCAAAGAACGAGGCGAGGAGGAATGGCCATGCAGGGATGATGGTGGTGCGATTGCTGGGAGAGGAGAGGTGGGCGGAGGAAGGGTACGAATGGCGTTTAGATGGCAGAGAAATTCAGACTCACACCCATATACACACGTGCATACTCACACGGACGGACTTACGTGCGGGAGGCAGGCACAAGTGCTGCAGAGTAAATTCCGGGCATGACGCCCATGAGGTTCCACAAGGCCACGAGCACCTGGTTCATCACAAAGCCAAGTGATAGCTTGTACCTAACCTCCCCTAACCTCCCACCCCCATTCACTCACGTGCGGGAGGCGGGCACGAGCGTAGCAGCGTATATGCCCGGCATGACGCCCATGAGGTTCCACAGCGCCACGAGCACCTGGTTCATCACGAAGCCATCGTCTCCCCTCAGGTTCAGAAGCTTCTCCAGAAAGTACTGATCGCGGTACTGCGGAGATGGTGGGGGAAAAGGGGAGGCGGAAGAGCAAGGGGACAGGGAGGGGGGAATGAGGAGAGCACCTGGTTCATCACGAAGCCATCGTCTCCCCTCAGATTCAGAAGCTTCTCCAGAAAGTACTGATCGCGGTACTGCGGGGGGGAGCGTGGGGTGGAGGGGAAGGGAGAGAAGGGGCGAGAACAGGGGGGAAGGGGGGATGGGGGAATGGGGAACGAGCACCTGGTTCATCACGAAGCCATCGTCGCCCTTCAGATTCAGATGGGGGCCCACTGTGGAGATGGGGGCCCACTGTGGAGATGGGGGCGGGGTGGGCGGGGGAGGAGGTAGAGGAGAAGGGAGTTGAGAGGAGACGAGCGTAGGGGGAAAGGATAGGGGAATAGGAGCAGTAAGGAGGCGAAGCACGAGCACCTGATGCATCACGAACCCATCGTCGCCCCTCAGGTTGAGAAGCTTCTGCCTACACCAGCCAGTGATAAGCTGCCACGTACTGGCGTCTGATGGGGCGCAAAAAACGCGCCATACGCGATCAGTCCCGCCCACAGGAGGAAGATCCCCGCAGTCGTCGCCTGCCCCAGAAGCTTCCCCTCATCCCCTTCCGCCGCCACCGCTCCCCCCGATGCCGCTTGCCCCGCGGGCGCCTGCGGAGTCTCCGCCAGCTTATTTGCTTCCGCGCTTGCGCCTGATCCTTCCGCGGATCCCCCTGCTGGCGCTTTGGGTGGCTCCGCGCTTGCGCTTACGCGTGGTAAGGCGCGGGTTTGGCGGAAAATCAGCTTCTGCGTGGAGCCTGGGCGCAACGCTTGCGCCGGAGTCATGCGCGGAAGCGGAAAGGCGGAATTTGAGAGGCGCGCAGGCGCATGGGACGCGGAGAGGGGGAGGGAAGCGACTGCATTGGGGAGCGTAGCGAGTCTTAGCGAGGGGGAGAGGACGTGAACCAGCATGATGGTTGTGACTAGAACGAAAACAGGCCAATGGGAAGAGTACAGGAACGGCGCGGAGGTTTTCTTGCCAAGCCAACCGTCGGGGAAAGGCGCCACGTATGGGCCAGTGAATTGACGTGGCGTAATGTGGGAGTCCTTCCAAAGGGAAATGGAGAGGAGGTATGGTACTGAACGGAGAGAGGAGAGGAACGTAGTCGAACGGGATTGGAGGGAAATGTCACATTCGCTCCAAACCCTATCGGAACGTGCTGGAACTGACCAAACCGTTCTGAAACGCAATAGATCACGCCCAACCACGCTTCACTATGCTCATGGGATCTTCCATGACAACTACAGCATTTCGTGGCATGAAAGAATCTTGCTGCTATTTCCATAATTGCAGTTCCTTGACACACTTGAGGGTGAAATAAAGATAGCGTTGGTACCTAGTGTCAAAACATATTGTTATGTTCTTACTCTAGGTTGTGTAGGGTCACACCTTAGAGGGTACAACCCAACTCTCTCGACACTTATGTACCCCCTCTCCCTCACCTAATCATCATTCCTCACCTAGCTACTAGTGATTCTAACATGGTATTAAGAGCACAATGCTCCTTAGGACCGAATGTTTAAAAGGGCCCACCACTACTATTTCGATCTACTGCCCGAGTCGCGCCCCTAGGAGAAACGCGAAATTCGAAACCGTGCTCTAGGCGAGACGGTTCCTTTTTCTGCCCTAGACGCGATTTTCCTTCCTAGTCACGTGCGACCCCCCCTGACCGCGCCTTAGCTGCCAGTACAGCCCGCGTAGGCCCGTCGCGAAGCCCGTACAGCCCGCGTAGGCCCGTCGCGAAGCCCGTACAGCCCGCGTAGGCCCGTCGCGAAGCCCGTACAGCCTGCGCCAGGCCGTCGCGCAGCCCGTACAGCCCACGTCAGGCCCGCGCCCAGCTCGTAAAGCCCGCGCCAGGCCCGCACGCAGCCCTTACAGCCCGCGCCTGGCCCGCACGCGGCCCGTGTTACTGCTGCACTCGCTGCTGCTGCTACACTGCTGCGCCTGAACTGCTGCTGTAGTGCTGCTGCCGCCTGTACTGCCCTGAAACTGCTGCTGCTACTTGTTGCAGCTGCTCCTCCTTGCTGCTGCTGCTGCTACTTGCTGCAGCTGCTCCTCCTTGCTACTGCTGCTACAGCTAGCGCTACTCACTGCTGCTGCTACTGAAGCTAGTGCTGCTACAGCTAGTGCTACAGCTGCTGCTGCTACTAGTGCCGTCGTAGCGGAAGCCTAGTGCTAGAAAGGCATAGTGCCGTCGTAGCGGAAGCCTTGATTGTATGATAGAATAGCAAGAAAAACCTTGCAACTGAAAGGACTCAGAACAAAGGAATGGATTGATAATGAAAGCACACAGCAGGGTATTTATCCATGCAGCTACCCTGCCAAAGCCTAGCCATCCCCACCAATAATTGTCCCTCCAATAATGGCAGCTCCAATAAAGGAGTACCGTATTCTCCCGGATAAAACACCCCCCCGTAATTGTACACCCCCGGGTAGCTTATACGGGGTGGGTGTTATATCCGACCCCGTTAGTACTATACCCCCCCTTTTGGGGTGATTTTCTATAACACCCCCCTTTTCTTATAGATTCCTATTATAGCTGTTATTGAGTCCGATTCCTTACGGGGGGATATCGCGTGAATTGCTCCCTAGATGAAATTTCGTGTGTACTTTCACTTACCGTAGAATCTGCCAAGATTCCCCCCCTCCCACAATCTCGCTGTCGCCACGCTGGCGAATCTTCCGCTGCAAGTGGCCTAAACCAGTCAAGAAATGACTGGTACAGTAACAACGCACCATCGTGCGCAATTCCGGCCTCGGCGGTTGCATGAACCGTCGCCACGCAATTGGCTTTGTTTTCACCCTATCAAGTGCCAGAATTGCCCACTGGAATTTGCCACGTGGCAGATTCCAGTGGGCAGTCACGTTATCCTCGTATACTCGGTTTTGCGGCACTGATCAACAATCTTGAAGTGAAGTCAGACCCCTTGATTTTGTTTCACATCTTTTCTGCTTGATAAAAAATATACCATATGATAAGACCCGGGTATTATGCAGGATTTTCCTTTGAGGAGACCCCCCCCATTTTTTCCCAGTGGTTTTCATAATACCCTAGGGTGTTTTATCCGGGAGAATACGGTACCAATAATTCTACCCCCAGGAGCTCTAGACTCCAGCCAATCAGCCCCTACAATAATTGTACAATTATTGTAGGGCCTAGATGCTGATAGAGGGGACTACACTAAAATCTAACAGCATATAACTTTCTTATGATTGTATATTTCCAACACTCCCCCTTGCTGTCGATTTTAGTGAGTTGGTTTGTAGATGATGGTGTGGATGAGGTTGTGCTTTTTGTTAAAGTTTAGAAGAAAGAAGAGGAATGAGGTTTCACTAGCAAGAGTTGGGATACAAGTACAACACCCTAAATTGGGTTGTACTCATTACAGAGTACCCCACTGCAGGCTAGACAGCAAATACATTCTGACACACCCCCATAGCCAAAGTGGGGTGTAATCAGCACAATGAGCAAGCATAGAGCAAGAGTTCACAATAGGTAAGTAAGGCTAGAGCTAATCACAGAGGGCAAGTGAGGAGGAGGAGAGACTGTGGGGGAGAGAAGATGGGAGGCGACTGCTGACGCTGCAGACACACAGACGAGCTGCTGGCTCAGTGGCTACCGGAACAGCGCTCCGGACTACTGGGGTAACTGGCCCCGCGGCTAAAAGTAGCGGCAGACGAGCAACGGACCCACGGGCGACTGGCGACTACCGGAGATTGTAGCCTCCGGACTGCTGCTGCTGCTGACGACAAGACTGCTGCCTCCACTCGACCTCCCCAGCTGCCTAACGCCCTTCTCACACACCCCCTGCTCAAACCCTAGCCCTACACCCACAGCACCCCCTTAAACTCTAAACCCCAGACTCCCACACATCCACCCCCCTCAGCGAGAGCTGCAGCAGTGGGAGACGAAGGAGGAGGAGGAGGAGGGAATGGCACGCACAACCGACACCCCCACAACCATCACCCCCACACCCACCCCCCCACGGCTGTACCGGGTCCAGGAGCGGCTGCTGCAGGGGCCAGGGGCGGCTGCTGCTGGGGCGGCTGCTCCAGGGGCTGCTGCTGCTGGGGCGGCTGCTCCAGGGGCTGCTGCTGCTGAGGCGGCTACTCCAGGGGCTGCTGCTGCTGGGGCGGCTGCTCCAGGGGCTGCTGCTGCTGGGGCGGCTGCTCCAGGGGCTGCTGCTGCTGGGGCGGCTGCTGCTGGGGCGGCTGCTCCAGGGGCTGCTGCTGCTGGGGCGGCTGCTCCAGGTGCTGCTGCTGCTGGGGCGGCTGCTCTAGGGGCTGCTGCTGCTGGGGCTGATGCTGCTGGGGCGGCTGCTCCAGGTGCTGCTGCTGCTGGGGCGGCTGCTCCAGGGGCTGCTGCTGCTGGGGCTGCTGCTGCTGGGGCGGCTGCTGCTGGGGCGGCTGCTCCAGGGGCTGCTGCTGCTGGGGCGGCTGCTCCAGGGGCTGCTGCTGCTGGGGCGGCTGCTCCAGAGGCTGCTGCTGCTGGGGCGGCTGCTCCAGGGGCTGCTACTGCTGGGGCGGCTGCTTCAGGGGCTGCTGCTGCTGGGGCGGCCGCTGCAGTGGCGGCGGCTCCAGGGGTTGCTGCTGCTGGGGCGGCTGCTCCAGGGGCTGCTGCTGCTAGGGCGGCTGCTCCAGGGGCGGCTGCTGTTGCAAGGCAGGCCGCTCCAGGGGCGGCTGCTTCAGGGGCGGCGGCTCCAGGGGCGGCTGCTGCAGCGGAAAGTAGGAGGGAGGGGAGGGGAAGGGCGCGGCCCCCATTGTGCCCTGACGGGCGATGTGCTAGGGAGCCGCGCAGGTCCCCAAAAGTGCCTCGACTGGCAACGAGAGGGGACCGCGCGCAGGCCCCTAAGGCGCCGCGACGAGGCAACGGGAGGGGCCGGCTCGCGGGCCCCGAAAGTGCCGCGACGAGGCGACGGGAGGGACCTGCGTGCAGGCCCCCAAAACGCCTCGACGAGGCGACGGTCGGGGCCAGTGCGCGGGCCCCTAAGACGCCGCGATGAGGTAGGAACCCGCCGCGCGCCTCGGGGCGCACGGCGGGCAGAAAACCGCCACGCGCTCCGAGCGCGTGGCGGGAAGAAAAATGGGATGTCGCGCGCCACGGGGCGCGCGACACACAGTAGGGCAGCGGAATCGAGTGGGCCCACAGGCCAGGAACGTTAAGCTCTGATAACATAACAAAATACTAGCGTGATTTTGGCTTAGGAGCCATAGTTTAGGAGCCTTGGTAGTTGAGTTGGAGTTTAGGAAAAGTATCGAGAGGTTTTGGAAGGAGAGGAATGAGGTTTCACTAGCAAGAGTTGGGATACAAGTACAACACCCTAAATTGGGTTGTACTCATTACAGAGTACCCCACTGCAGGCTAGACAGCAAATACATTCTGACACTTTTGTGACGGAGGGAATTGCGGATGACTGCGATGTTGATCGTGGTGCCGATTTTGAAGAGCGTTGATTGCGGCGAAAACACGCCTAGGGTTTCCGTTGGAGAACGCGTCGGTGAGTTGGGCTCTATAGCAGCTGCGGTCAATTTTCGTACCCCACGTTCAGGTGCGGGGGTTGCACTGTACGATTCTGTTTCTGCTGCTTCCAACCAACCGAACCCTCATCTGAGCTTTCCTGCTTCGCCTCGCAGACCTGTCTCACACTCGCTTCCAACCCCGCCTGTCAATCTCGTTCCTTCCAGCACCTTTCAGATCTGGTATTCTCAGCAGCATTTACTATGGCCATGGCTGCTGGACGACGGTTTTGCGCATTCACGGCGAGCTGTCGGCGTAGCTTGCAAC